TTCCTGACAGTATTTTTCCGTTTTTTAACAGACATTTTCTGGCGCCCCTGCTGCCAGAAAATTACCGTTTTTTTACGGTTTTTTTTTTTACAGTGTAGATTCAGGAAGGGCAGAGTGATACTGGCAGGTGCTTCTGAGTAAGACAGACATTGGTGTGCTGATTGCTTTGAGTTTGCTTATGAAACTGTGTCATCTGATAATGGCTTAATCTACACATTTCATTCCTAAATGTGACTAGTGACATTTCTGATGTTTTTAGATGTCCCTCTAACAGTGCTACTGACCAAAATGGACAAAGCATGTCCTCATGTGGAAAAGGATTTGAAGAAAGTGTACCGCAGCTGCTACATAAAGGATCTGGTGAGTTTCAGGGTCTAACACTGGATTCTATCCAGTTTTTCTCCAAAGGCTGCATCAACTTATCAGTTCAGTATTGGTGGAAACCTGCAGCAGAGCCCTCGACTGTAAAATTGGCCTGAATTGCTGTAGTAAAAATATGCAGCAGTATAAATGGGTGAAAGTTGACTATGGGTACAAGTTGACATCATCTACTGGACGGGTTATCAGTGGCAACAAAACACACCCAGACAAATGCAATGACCAAGTGAGAGATTGCAGTTCACCTGGTGGAATGTTTGTAGACTGTAGGAGGAAACAGGATGAACAAGCAAACATCACATATGGAGCCAAAGCAAGGGGCTGTGGACCTTTGGTTTATTATTTTACACTGGCTCACAAACCTTTATCTCTAGTATTTATTTTCTAAAGCAACATATTTCCTGGTAGCCAGATGACTCTGCAGGGAGCTCTGTGGCCTGACACCTCCACTCCATGTCTGTGCAGTTTGCCTGTTCCTCCTGTGACTGTGTGCGTTCCCACCCATAGCTGAAAACATGCTTTTGGGGCATCTCTAAATTGCCCATAATGTGTGACTGTATGACCTAAAATGAGCCGGCATTCTGGCCTGGGTGTCTCTTTCCTCAGATCCTCTGTTTCCTGGGATAGACTCACCATCACCCTGTACTGAATGGGTGGTTATGGATGGATGGATGACAAATTTGTGTCTGACATTTAATTGCAGCTTTGGATCTTTGATTGTACATCTACATTTGGCAGCATCTACTAAAGACAGAATTATACTTCAGTATTGATTATCTCTGACACCAATATTGTGATACAGCAATTGAAGAAAATAAATTTGAAAAGGATTGTGTATATGAACTGCACGTCTCTTTGCAGATCAAAAAAGCAAGTACATGTCTGGGCATTGCGGAGTCAAATGTGCTTCCAGTGAAGAATTACTCCCATGAGATTGAGCTGAATGACACCTGTGACATCCTGCTCCTCAGTGCTGTGAAGCAGATGCTCAACTTTGCTGATGACTACATAGAGAGTATTTATGAGAACCAACAGTAGAGAAATGTTATGTTAGTAGAGACATATGCCAACAACTCATTGTATTTGGGGACATCGGCAAATTCTGATAGTTAAGATGGTCAAGAGCTGCTGCCCAAGATTTTGTGACCTACAGTCTATAGTTACAAGCATATATATATATATATATATGAAAATGACCTGGTGATTACAGCATTTGTCAGTGTCTGGTTTGGTTAACCATGGTTTTCAGTTTTTTACATCTATATTTTGAGTTTAGTATTCTTCAGTGTCTCTGTCGGTTTGATTACTAGACTGTGGGTTTGGAAATGATCCATTAAAATGAATTAAAATGGTCTCACATTCAAATTCTCCACTACTGGAATTTTTTAACAAAGGATGTGTTACATGAATGTTCTTTAGAAGATCTTATCAAAGTGTTTAGCTTGGTAGTTTAAATGTACTTTGGCTTTTCTACACAGACTGCTACCTGATTGGGGTAATAAAATATTCTAATGTAATATGTGAGGAATTTGACTGAGATGCCACACTCTCCAGGGTCAGTACAGGTCTAGGGAGGCATATGGCTGATGGGGCCTCATCTTTTCCACTCCCTTAGTGCAGAGTGGACATCAGCCCCAGGAGGGAAGTCAGGGTTGGGATCCACCTCAGGGAAAACAGTGACGTCCTCACTGCCTCGGTAACTAGGCAACAAGAGTAAAACACCACCATCATTATAACCAAAACCATTTCCATAGGCCCACAGTCCAGGAAAGACAGGACCACTACTATGACCTGACATTAACCCCTACCGAACGTGTGAACACCAGAAACTGGACAGAAAACCTAGAACTCCAACAGGAAGGGAACAAAGACAGATAGGGCAAACACCAGGAGCTAGGACAAGAACAATAGACGAGGGAACAGAACTTGGGGACCAGGAATAAACTGATTCAAGACTGGACACGGAACAGGAATGTGAGACAGGGACTCTAATGAAGCAGTAGAACTGAAAGGGAAGGGCAAAAATGGGACTTGTTGGGGCAGCAGTCCAGGAAACAGAGGGACAGTACCAGGGATATGAGGCAGGGACCAGGAAGGAGAAGGGGACTTGGAAGGGAAGGGTACAGAGGGACTAGGATGGGGCAACAAATTGGGAAACAGAAAAGGGAAGGGTTGGGTAGGAACAGACTGGGAAGAGAAGGGAGAGGAGGATGGGGTGCATGGACCATCATGGGTCTGGGGAACTGGAGGCTGGGCTAAGCGACAGCAAAATTAGGGTAGGAAGAGAACCCGGTGGGTGACCGGGGACTGGAGAGCGACGAGGAAGCTTCTGGACAGGAGCTAGAAGCCAATGAGGAGACTGAAGAATGGGGACTGCGGGACACCAAGGGGACTGCCAGTCGATGAGGGACCTCGGTCTGGGCGGCTGGCATGTTCCCGTCTCTCCCTCAGGAGGCAGAGAACTTGACTGGCCCTCTGCTGGGGCTCCACCTGTGCCATAGAAGGCCCCCTTGGGTGGAGGCAGAAGCCCAGAATGTGGGACTCAGGGCCAGGACGGCATCTGGCAGAGCTGCAGGGGCCAAGTCAGGATGAGCAGCCCCCTGTGGGCCAGGCTCAAGATGTTTCGGCAGAATCAGAGCAGCCCCTTTTAGGCCAGACTTGGGAAACTCAGGAGGGAGACACGGCTATTTCCCCCTGGGAACGACAACGGAGCCATGGCGACTTCCCCTGGGCATGACACCGGAGTCTTGGGAGATGAAAGACCTTTGGCCCAATCCATCAGCTGCCACTGGATGCTCTCCAGTGTATCCTCCTCCTCAACAGGTGACGTAGCTGTGTAGGATCACGCAGGCCCCACAGCCAGTATTTTATGGCCGCTGAGTGAGTGAGTCGGCCATGCTAAGATCTCCCTCCGTACCTCTTTGACCCAGGGCCCCTCTCCAGGAAGCCGAAGCCCGCATTCCAATGTTTATGGCCCTCAAACGGAGGACCCAGATAG